TGGGCGTGATCAAAGAAACTCTGGTTGCTACTAAGGGCTCAATTCAATCAGATCCGCTTTAGCCAACATCCGCATGGCGGTGGTTTTGGTGGTGTCGGAGGTGGAACTGCGTTAGAGCTGTCAAATCCACAAGTGGCTCCCGGCACTACACCTAAAGCGGACATTGCCATTGGCTGCACAGAGTCACATTAACAGAAATCCAATGCAGCCTTGTTTACAATTTTGAACACTGGAATGTGAGATGTAATCTACACCTCAATTAGGATGATAGAAATCCTCATTATTTTGTTTAATGATTTTTCTATTTGAACGTAATTATTTCTATACAGCCTACACGTTCTCTTTCTGAACTACTAACGCGAGTGGTACAGGTGTGGCTTCGTGACAATGATCAAGAGCAGCTGCTCACTGATTTGACAGCTCCAACGCAGTTCCACCTCCGACACTGCCAAAACATCCGCTATGCGGGTGTCTGCTATCGCTGGTTAACGCTTAATCTGATTGAATCTAGGCCTACATTAATTCCCAACTTTCACCATTTAGCAACAGTGGTAAGACCCAGATAGTGCAAACAGCAAATGTCCCTGGAATCTGACCTGTGGTGCCGTAGAGAGGGACAGGAGAGCAAACAACAGTGGATAAAAGACTGGAACTACCCTTGGCACCATTAAAATATCAACAGGCAGAGTGAGACAGACTTTCTGTACAGAGACATATTGAGACATTATAGTGAGACATTTGAGAAATGATGCTGGTGGTACGTGTGACTGTTGTCCTGGGACTCATCTCAGTGGGCGGCTCCCAGGTTGCCCCTTCAACCTCTGAGGAACTCCTGAGATCACTGGAGCAGCGCAGCCTCAATCAGACTCTGGATAAGTGGCCGCCTATAGCTGAGATTTCAAACCATCCTTCTTGGGAGTTAGTGCCTGTTGGTAACCAGAACAACACCCTTGACGTCACCCAGTTCCAATCCTTAAGAGGAACATGCTTCAGGATAATCTCTAACTTGACTCGCAGGCTTCACTGCTTGAACCCCTAATAATAATAAACGCCAAATAAAACAATAGAGTTTCTCGCAGCTTCGCTGCGTGAACCCCTAACAAGCAATTGTTACAGGAAAAAAACGTAAAAGTTTCTAAATACGAGGGTCAACGGCATCATCGCATTTCTCGTTCCATGATGGGCGCATGGACACATGGCAACATTAACTCACTGTTTTGCTGCTCCCTAAAATGATATTTTAATAAGGCTTTGGTGATTAAGATTCGTTTCAAGGCGGTCTCACAAACAAAACAACTCTGTCCTCAGTTGGTCCACATGGGCCAGCTCAGGAGAACCTCTATCAACGATATCAACTCTGTCTCTCTCTCTCTCTCTCTCTCTCTCTCTCTCTCTCTCTCTCTCTCTCTCTCTCTCTCTCTCTCTCTCTCTCTCTCTCTCTCTCTCCTCTCTCTCTCTCTCTCTCTCTCTCTTTCTGTCCTGCTCTCTCTCTATGTCTCTGCCGCTTCTGCATTTTCTGTGCCGTTGATCAGGGAATGGATGGATGGATAGAGTGGGAGGGAGAGAGGAGAAGGGAAACTGGGGCAGTGGGGACACACTGTCTACTAGGATAGGGGTAGATTCCTCTATTCGTCCAACAAAGGGTCACAAAGCTGCGAGGAAAAAAAGAGACGAGCGGAGAAGAACAGGGACCCGATAGGCGAAGAGAGGGAAAAGAAACGGGAAGAACAGCGAGGAGAAGAGGAGCAGACATGCAGAGAGGGGAGAGGAGGGAGAGCAAAGGGCAGCAACGAGGCCTGGAAAAAGCACCTCTATCTCACCCTCATTCTCTTACTACCTCTACATCCTCTCTTCTCTTCTCTTCTCCTCACCTGTCCTCCCCTCAATTCTCCTCACCTCTCTTCTCTTCTTCTCTTCTCCTCACCTCTACTCTTCTCTCTTCTCTTCTGCTCTCCATCAGGGAAATAGATTGGCGTAGACATCTCACACTCTTCATTTGCATAGCATTATGCCCCAATTTCCCAAGTGATTCTTAAATCATTGGACTCTCTCTCTTCTCTTCTCTTTCTCTCTCTCTATCATTATTTATCTAATTCACCCTCATTATATTCCTGCATAAATCTTTTCTGTGATTGTTAGCATTTTGTTCACATTTTCTAACTATCTTTTCGTTTTGATGTCATCTAAACCATAACAGTCATTTACATAACAACATACAGCTGGAATCATTTTTTACATTACCTATTATAGCACTGTGAGACACTACCACTGGGCACAGACGTCAATTTGACGTCTATCCCACATTGGTTCAAAGTAATTTCATTGAAATGAAGTAGAAACAACGTTGATTCAACCAGTGTGTGCCCAGTGGGTACTATATATTACTTTATACTGGCATCTGTTTTATTTGTTGTATACACAAATCCAGACCCAGTCATTTGTCTATCTGTCTGTCTGTTTGTCTATAGCAGCAAACTTATTGAGAGAGTACATCTGGTCCGGAGTGGACTCTGTGTCACTAGATCTGTTATTCATGGTACACATTCTGCTGTAGATAAGTGCTTCAAGTCAATGAGAACAGAATGAATAAATTATGCTCCTTTTATCCATGCCGGGTGCTTCAGAAAGAGTGAGAGTGAGGGGAGGAAGAGGAAAATGGAGTAAGGAACAGAGAGTGAGAGAGAGGAAGAGAGAGAGAGATAGACAAGGAGAGAGGGGGGGGGGGGGGGGACAGAGAGAGGAAGAGAGAGGGAGACGGTAGGAGGAAGAGAGGGAGAGAGATAGAGAGAGCGGAAGAGAGAGAGAAAGAGAGAGACTAATTGATAATGTGGCTTTCCAACTCTGTTCTCTGTTCAGTCTGGGTTTTGTGGTTCCTGACTCCCTGGTTCCGGTCCTCCTCTGTCCCAGTTAGTGAATCTACGTCCCACTATATAGGGAATAGGGTGTCATTTGGGACGTACCCTCTGACTGGGACATGGCTGGTTGCCACTGGAGTCTTCTGGGGTCAGAGTTCAACCCAGCATAAAATTACCGGCTTACCCGCATAATTACAAAGGGGACCAGTGCATCCCATGCTCTCACATAGGGAAGACACTCCAGTTCATTTTGATCTGTGTGTGTGTGTGTGTGTGTGTGTGTGTGTGTGTGTCTGTGTCTGTGTGTCTGTGTGTTAAGACCATAATGGTTCCCATCAGTGGTAGTGGTTGTTTTTACTGGATTATCCTCTCATTTGGGGAATCAGTGGAGGATCACGCACACTCTCTGTCGCTGTCACACACACTCTCTGACCCTGCTCTGACCCTGCTCTGACCCTTCTCTGACCCTACTCTGACCCTGCTCTGACCCTGCTCTGACCCTTCTCTGACCCTACTCTGACCCTGCTCTGACCCTTCTCTGACCCTACTCGCCTCTCACACACATATCACTCATCTCTTTCTATGTGTGCACATTTAGAGATTGTGGGTTTCTTGCATGTATAGTAAAACTTTGGTTAAACTAAACTGCCCCCTCACGGAAATTGTCAAAGAAAAGTTTTAACATAAATTGCGCAGCAGTTTATCATTCACACATCCTGTCTATTTGAAGTATGATGGTGCATTTACTCATAGCGCGAAAGGCAAAAGTCACACTTATTGCTCTGATCTGATCTCACACTACACGTCTCACACACACAAGCAAGCTGGTCCTGGGGCTCTGTTCACAAACACAAACAGACCCCACAGAGCCCCAGGACAGCAACACAATTAGACCCAACTAAATCATGAGAAACAAAAAGATAATGACTCATTGGAAATAATAAATAAAAAGCTGAGCAAACTAGAATGCTATTTGGCCCTAAACAGAGAGTACACAGTGGCAGAATACCTGACCATTGTGACTGACCCAACTGACCTTGCCATTGAGAGAAGCCGCCGCAGGCAGACCTGGCTCTCAAGAGAAGACAGGCTATGTCCACAAAATGAGGTGGAAACTGAGCTGCACTTCCTAACTTACTGCCAAATGTATGACCATATTAGAGACACATATTTCCCTCAGATTACACAGACCCACAAAACAAATCAAATTTTGATAAACTCCCATATCTTGGGTGAAATACCACTCTGTGCCATCCCATCAGCAAGATTTGTGACCTGTTGCCACAAGAAAAAGGGCAACCAGTGAAGAACAAACACCATTGTAAACACAACCCATATTTATGTTGATTTATTTTCCCTTTTGTACTTTTAACTATTTGCACATTGTATATAGACATAATATGACATTTGAAACGTCTCTATTCCTTTGGAACTTTTGTGAGAGTAATGTTTACTGTTATTTTTTTATTGTTTATTTCACTTTTGTTTATTATCTATTTCACTTGCTTTGGCAATGTAAACATATGTTTCCCATACCAATAAAGCCCTTTGAAATGAATTGAATTGAATTGAGAACATGGGGTGAATAACTCCCTGACTCACCCTGTAGCCTTTAGCAACAGTAGGAGGTTACCAGGCTATTATTATCTAGGGGCCAGTTGTACTTCCTCATCTTATGACCTGTATCCTATCCTCACACTTGTACATCTTTCCTGTTTTCGCCTCCAAACACTCCCACATCCCTCTCTTTTCTCCTCCCTTCTTTACAACTATCGCTTCCTTCACACCCTCGCTTCATCTCTCCATCGCTCTTCTCCACATCCTCTCTGTCCGTCTCCCCCTCTCTAGCTTTCACCCCCTCTCGCCCTCTCTCGGTCTCATTCCCTCAGCTCTCCCTTTGTGTGTCTGTGTGTTTGTAGAGAACAGCTGGGGGTGACGTCACAACTCTTGTCATATATCTCTATCTCTCTCTCTCTCTCGTCTCTCTACTCTATACTCTCTATTCTCTCTCTTCTCGCTCTCTCTCTCTATCGCTCTCTCCGCTCTCTCTCTCAACTCTCTCCAGGTAATGATCTGTTCCTAGTGGCAGTCCATGAGCTGGGCCATGCCCTTGGTTTGGAACACTCCAACGATCCCACAGCCATCATGGCCCCCTTCTACCAGTACATGGACACAGAGAACTTCAAGCTGCCCCACGACGACCTCCAAGGCATCCAGAAGATCTACGGTAGGCTAGGCTTCCTCTCATTTAACACAACCATCTACTTATATCATCAGTGTGCTGCCGGAGGGTGGCAAGGACAGACGGAGGGGCAGACCTGGGTACACCATCAAACCTCTCCTCGTCCTTCCTTCTTTTACTTTTCCTCCTCCTCCTCCTCCTCCACCCTTTCCTTGTCATTGTTGTCTTCAAGGGAAGTGGGACTCGTATAAAGCAGATGAGTCTTACCCTTTCCCTTCTTCCTCCTGCTCTTAAAATCAGGGTTGTATTGGAGAGATGTGTGTGTGTGTGTGTGTGTGTGTGTGTGTGTGTGTGTGTGTGTGTGTGCATGCGTACCAACATGAGGGTTTACCGTCATAAGGGATAGCATCGAGCGGAGATTCTATTTCTGTTTATGGTGTGTGTGGTTTATCTCTCCATCATTCTCCCTATCATTATATAATTGCAAAGTGCTTTGCCCCCACTAATCCAGGGTCTATTTCAAGAGATTTCATTCAGTCAATGAATACAATCCCTGTGGTCCTCCCAGGCAGCAGCTGATCAGTTCACTGGACTGACTGACTGGGATGATGATGATGATGATGATGATGATAACTAGTGGAGTTAGTAACTAGCACTGTAATCCCCTGATCCTTTGGGCCTACAATCCCTGGGGATGATGGCCCAAGGTCATGTGGTCATTCATGTATTCATTTGTTGGTTAGTTCGTTTTTTTGTCCGTTCATTCATTCATTTTTTTTTTCAGTCATTCATTCAGTCAGTCATTCACTCACTCACGCATACATTTATTCACCCTCTCCTTCTCTATCTCCTAAAGCTGTCACCTCTGTGTAATAGTCCTATCACTGTCGTTGGCCCCAGCCTTGTTATCCAGCTGCATGATTGGCACCAGTCCTGTCCAAATGGGATTTATGATCATTTATTAACCCACAGTTATGGACAGACATTCATTAAAGAGGAATTTCAGCTGTATATTTATATACATTTACATTTTAGTCATTTAGCAGACGCTCTTATCCAGAGCGACTTACAGTTAGTGAGTGCATATATTTTCATACTGAAGAATACCATTTTCTTGTTTGCTTATGGCCTCATACAGCTCGTTCAGTGCGGTCTTAGTGCCATATAAACTAAATAAGTACACCAACACTGAACCCAACCCCCTTAACATTCAATAACACTACTGAACTAATAATGTAAAAGAATCCCAGTTAATTAATTTTAATAAGAACACAGTGAGAGTTGAGTCTGTTTAGATAGCAGTCCCAAATGACACCCTATTCCCTATAAAGTGCACTTATTTTGACCAGAGCCATATTAGCCTTGGTCAAAAGTAGTGGGAACAGGATGTAATTTGTGATGCAGGCCAGGTCTCGTCTACTCTTAATGGCTGTAGTCTAACTGGGTGAACACTGGACTGTAATTGATGTGTTAATGATGACAGTGTGTCACACTGTGTTTCTCTGCTCCTTATTACCAATCTAAATTACTATTACATTTGCTAAGCCAATTACACCACCTCTCTGTAACAGGTAGTTAGAGTGGATTAAAGCCTAGTGTTTCGGTGGAACCCTGCGACACAAAGTGCCGAGGAGATCGGCTTATGTGTGTCTGTGTCCTGTGTCCTGTGTCTGTCGGCTATTGCATTAGGACCAAAATATTTCAAATACACTTAGGCTGCATCCCAAATGGCAAACTATTCCCTATATACTGCACTACTACTTTATAGAGCCCTATGGGCATAACGTAGAAAATAGGCTGCCATTTGGGACACAGCCTGAGAGTACAGTGCTGTGTAGACACCACCCCACCCCACCTTCTAGCTCTGACTCTACTGATAGCTACGTTATTGAGGAAAATGTACTTTCTATGCCTGTGGTATGTGGTTGTCCCACCTAGCTATCTTAAGATGAATGCACTAACTGTAAGTCGCTCTGGATAAGAGCGTCTGCTAAATTACTGAAATGTAAAATGTAAAATGTAGTATTTTGATTGCTTTTGTTTGTTTATTTGTTTGTTTGTTTAGTAATATTGTTGATGTTGTTTTCATTCAGGTCCACCAGATAAGGTACCCCAGCCGACCAAGCCTTTACCGACAGCCCCCCCCACACCGCTCACAACCCCCCTCGGACCCCCGCAAGCCTGACAGGCAGACGCGACCCCCCAGGATACCTACGGGGGACAAGCCCAGCCAGCCCAACGCCAAGCCTAACATCTGTGATGGGGGCTTCAACACCCTGGCCATTCTGAGACGAGAGATGTTCGTGTTCAAGGTAGGAAGTCACTGTGTTTATGTTTCATACTGATTTAACCATCCACTACTTAAATTCAATTACATTCAAAATAACTCCCTGAGTGGCAATTACCTTTGGGCATGTGAGAGTTTGCAACAGAAAAACAACATCATGACGGCATACAACAAACATACCACGAATGACCAACACAGCAACTTTACAGCAAGATAGCACAACATCAACATGTTATGTGCTTGGGTGTGTGTGCATGCATACTTGTGTGTGTGTATCCAGCTCAAAGGACCAGAGCCCGGTTGCATAAAACACCTTCAGTTAATTTTCCCTTTATATTTTCCCTTAAAGTTTCCTTAACTTTAAGGCAGTTGCACAAAACATTTTAAGGTGCATTTCCCGCTGAAATTAAGTAAAACATGTAAGCGTGCCCATGAGGTCCCTTAACTGCTTCATTCAGTATGGATATCAATTTAAACAGCATTTGTGGAGGTGAATGTTGCTTTCATCTGTTCTGGTTACAAAAGGAAAACATCAACCAACTAGCTACTTAGCTAAACAATGGAAGGTGCACAAAGCTAGCTGGCTAGCTAGCTATAGCTACTCTGTAAGCTAGCTTGACGTACTAGAAAGTAATATCATGTAAGTTGAGAAAAAAGTAACTACAAGAAACGTGATTTATTATCTTCTGAAGCAATTTGGTTATCCTGTCTTGATTGTAGAAGCTATATTATGCTATCTCACAAAATGAAAGCGACCTTTTTGACAAGATGTTTAGTCAGGCCGTCTCCGTGGTAACCAGATACTCTTTCTGCCATACATGCCTTCAAACTACCGTAAAACCCCTTAAGTATGCCCTTACCTAAGGAAATATTTGAGGGGCTCTATGCAATGCCCTTAAACAATTCCCTTACGTAAGGTAAAATTATTCCTTAAGGTAAACCCTTAAGGGAAACACTTAAGATGTTTTATGCAACCAGGCCCAGGACCTGAGCATTGTTTTTCACTATGTGTGTGTCGGTGGATCAGCCGCACACTAGGCTCCACTCTCAGTAAAAAGGGTACTTTTAGGGTACAGTATTGTTCCCGGGGGTACAAAAACATAAAAATACACATAATATACCTTCAAAGGTACACATATCTCACCTGGTACCTTTTAGGGTACATATGCGGATAATCTAGTATAATGGTATATTTCTGTACCCAATATTTTGAATATAAAGCTACAATCATCACACACTCTCAAAAACCACTCCCATTATTATGATATTTCCCAGCATGCTCTATTGCAGGTAGATAAAAAAAATTAAAAAATGTTTCAATATGTGTGTTTTTGCATGCGCATTAATTGATTGATTGATTGATCTTATGCTACACAAAGATAAATTACATACATAACAAAACTAATCTGTTAATAGTTGGACTTATTGCACCCGTTATTGAGATGGTTATTCCCGTTTAGATGGTTTAGGCCCTGTGTAGCTCAGTTGGTAGAGCATGGCGCTTGCAACGCCAGGGTTGTGGGTTCAATTCCCACGGGGGGCCAGTATGAATTTTTTTTTATTTTTTTTATGTATGCACTCACTAACTGTAAGTTGCTCTGGATAAGAGCGTCTGCTAAATGACTAAAACATTTTAGGTAGTCTCATTTATCAATTTTCCCTACCTTGGCAGTCATTCTAAATGCAGGTTACAGGTGATTAAAAGTTATCATTGTTTTATATCCTAACTCTGGCTGGATTCCAATAAGAATTACATATCACTTTGCAAGCAGCATAATGTGACTTGCCCGATGTGGCCAGCAAACCAGGAGTTTCAGACCACTGTGTTGGGATAAAAGCAGGCTGTCAAAATATGGTTTTATAATATATGTAATGTATTGTCATAAATAGTTTAATTTCAATGATAAAATATTCACTTAGCACTCACTTGGTGAAGGCTTCAGGACTGAAAGCCATTGAATGCAACCATGTTTCTGTCACTATCAAATACAGTCATGGGTTATGGGTGTTATTGGTAACTCTAAAATTCGCTTGAGAGTCACCCCTGGGAAATATTCAAATAAGGTTTTACACCCTACAGTGTTAAAACAACATCCAAAACCCTTTATAGAGGTACATTTTTGCCACTTTAAAGGCAAACAGGCACAGAAAAAAGGCTAATTTGTTCCTTTTCTAAAGGTATGCTTCTGTGGACTACATATAATAAAGTTACTATCTCATCCCCTAAGGTACACTATTGGCTCTTTTACGGTATGAACTGCAAGGGTACAATTATGTACCTATAACTAAAAGTACTAAAGTGACAAGCGTTTGTACCCCTTTAAGAACAAATCTAAACCTTTATTTCTGAGAGTGTGCTTTCAGTTAGTCAGTTCTCAGAGTTGAACTAATAGAGAGGCTCTGTGTGGGAGGGCTTCAAATATGTGTCTAATATGTACTAATGTACCAGATAACTGAAGCACTATGGGTAGTGGGTATAGTTATTCTGTATATAGCTACAGAGTAGTCAGTGGTTTCTGCTGGTCAAGAGATTTCAAGCGTTATCATCATTGAAGCTCAAGGGACATATGGACTGTACTGTAGCTCATATAATTAGCACTTTCCTTTTCTTAAGAGGAATGTAACATACTGCACTGTAGGATAGTCTACATATAGCAGTTTACAGTGATTATGTAAGTGACTGACTAACTGACACATTCTAAATGTGAGGTCTGTACGCTATGGCAGGGATGGGTTCCAAATGGCACCCTATTTCCTATATAGTGCACTACCTCTGACAAGAGCCCTGATCAAAAGAAGTGCAGTAAATAGGAAACATGGTACCATTTGGGACGCAGCCCAGGACTTGTTTGAATATCTATTAGCTTACATAGAAATAACATCTAGTCCAGATGGAATATGGTTTTGTCTTCCCAAACAAACCCCACAGTAGCTTTCTGTCCAGTAACTCATCTCAGTTTACCCAGAACAAAAATGGTGCATAATTTGGTTTATGTTTATGTAGTGTGTCCACGAGAGATTATCCAGTAACAAAACCTACAGTAGCTTTCTGTCCAGTTTAACACAGAGTCATGATGTGTCTATGTCTATGCCTATGTGTCTTTATCCAGAGACTCAGAGTCTCAGAGGAAAAAGCCCTGGCAGCTCATAATCGGCTAATGCACGCCCGCACACACATATACATACGCACACACACAGGAGAAAAGGGGAAAGCCCTCCAGGCAACACAAAGATCAGCTATGTTCTCCACCAAAGAGAAAGAGCGCCTGTGCTTTTGTGTGTATTTTTCAGGGGTTATAAATAGCTAGTATTCATTGGTTAAGTAGGCTAAGACACGTGGAACTCACTGGGAAAATACCCCTCTCGTAGAATATTGCCAAACACACTTACACTGTGGTTTGGTTTATTTCATTTGAACAGTGATTCTACTTATGTCTTACATTGCTTGGGTAAATCCTCATTCTCACTCGGCTTTCCAGAAAACAGTAACATCCATTGCAGATTTTTCTCTTCTCCTGTCTCAGTCCACTGTACTTAATCATGGAGACAAAAGGACAAATGTACAATATTTGTGTCTAGGAAAAACCTTCAGGCCAACAGTCTTAGTGACCTGTGTCTCCATGGAAATGTCTGCCTAAGCACCCCCCTCACATGGTTTCTCCCTCCTTCCCCCTGGCAAAAGTTGGCGTGGAACAACCCGGCCTGGGTGAGAGTCAGTAGTGGAGAGAGACAGAGCTAAGAAAGTTAGATAGTACGTCACAATAGAGGCCCATAGGACTCTTGACAAAAGTAGTGCACTATATAGGGAATAAGGTGCTATTTGGAACGCACACAAAGGAACACAGGAAGTCTCAGTCTGATCGTTTATGAGTTTGGCACCTCAGCTCAGCTCAAGGATGGATGGATAGATGGCATTTCCACACTAACGACTCTGTGGATATGAATCAAAACACTGGCCAACTACTCATGATTCAGGCCATGGATAGAGGTCATATTTAACTCGCAGATCAAAGAGAGCATTGACCCGTTTTATTTATTGGTTTGGTTTAGTGGTATTTTCCTCCAATTTCTCAACTCCAGAAAGAGTTGGTTTCAATGGCTGTTGTACCGTTGTTTTTTTGTTTTGTTTTTACGCTGTCAATGAGCATATTTAGCAGGAAGTTAAAATGAAAATAAATCACATTCCCTATTCTAACCATCACCATTATCTCCTCTCGTGAAGAGACAACACAGAATCACTTATTATGCAACTTCCTTTATGTATATGAATTGTGTTTCTAAGTAGTTTTTTACACTATGTGTTTGAGCTCATTGTAATTATAGTGTGTGGCTTGAATCCTGATTTCAAGAAGAGAAGCTCTCAGCTTGTCCATCATTTGCCAAAAAGGCACAATGCATGTTTTCTCCCAAACTCAAATGTGCTCTGCATGGTCAAGACACATCTAAGCTAGGTATTATGGTCGAGAGAGAGAGAGAGAGAGAGAGAGAGAGGGTGTGGGGGATTCTATTAGCATCACTTAACCAGCAGCAGGGGAGATGAAGAGGAAGTTAGTGCTACTCTCTGACTGGCTCACAGCTACTCAGAGCCAATCACAATCCCTCCCACACACATCAGACAGGAAGCAGGACGCTGAGTGTGGATGTTCTGTTCAGGGTCACTGAGGTTGGCATGGAGGAGACTGACTGGTCAAGAGTGGGTGAAGAACAACAGAGGGAGGGAGGGATACATAAGTAGATCAAATACATTATGTATATAGATAAACAGTTTCCTGAACAAATAAGTCCTCTACTTGAATAGTAAGTTGGAAGGATGTTTAGTACTCGTACTTAGGGCCCAGAGTTTCATGGTCAGGAAAACCCTCTTTCCTGTACTCTGAAATGTCCATGAATTGGCTCCAGTAGCCAGTAGAGTTGGAATCTTCATTAGTCTGTGTCTGTGGTATTTCCTCTAAAGCAGGTCTGTGTGCAGAGTGACAGTCTGTCTGGTTGATGGGTTACTGAGGAGGGAGGGAGGGAGGGAGGGAG